GAAAACCCAGCAAATCTCTAACATCCTAATGTAATCAGTTCTTTGTATTTCTAAGCACATTTACATATCTGATCATCACAGCACCATTTTTCTAATTCCGTTGTCGTGTTTTTTAGTTTGTTGGATATATAATTTACAGATACTTTTTCCTAGTCTGTAGCTTGTCTTTTCATCCTTTCAACAGGGTCTTTTGCAGATCAAAAATTTTTTGATTTAAATTTATTTTAATTGTTGTTCAAGTACAGTTTTCAGATCAAATTTTAAATTTGAATGAAGTGCAATTTATCAATTTTTCCTTTTATGAGTTGTGCTTTTGATTTTTAAAAAGGATTTTATTTACTTATTTTTAGAGAGAGGGAAAGGGAGGGAGAAAAAGAAACATCAAGTGTGGTTGCCTCTCAGAGGCCCCCCACTGGGGACCTGGCCCACAGCCCAGGCATGTGCCCTGACTGGGAATTGAAGCAGCAACCTTTTGGTTTGTAGGCTGATGCTCAATCCACTAAGCCACATCAGCCAGGGCAATAAAATTAAAAAAAGAAAAAAGAAACTTTATGGGAAATTTAAATATTACTAGAAGTAAGTTGGCCCACTGACCTGTAAACAGCTTTAAAACACTTCTCTGAAATCACACACCAAATGTGGCCATCAGTGTGCACACTTGAATGGTGTGTTAAAAACTGTGCAATGATTTCCAGTGGAATATCTAGAGAAAATTAAAGCGAGTAGATCTGGTAAACCTAAATAATTGATAATTTTTTTATTACACAAATCTTGAATTCCTGGCACCAAAGTTTAAAAATGTTGGGATCTGTAACATGATCATTTTCTCTAGGGCACATTTTTAACACCCTTTGATGAGTACAAATGCAACATCCTATTTGAGAACACAAACACTGTTTTCTCAGTACAGTTAAAATAAAATTCAGCAGCTGTCTTGGTGACTGCTGGGAGTCACCTTAAACCTGAGTTATAGCATATTCTGCAGTCGATGGTTTCTGTTACTTTGTCAATAAAAATAGCAGCTATAATACTCTATTGCCAAATATTCTAATGCAGCCAACTTCTGAGGAATTTCTAATGGTGTCTATAAAATCAGCTACCACATTCCTTAAGCAGAATATAAAGAGGTTATTTTGTGAGGTCAAGGCTGACTTCTGTTATGTACACATTAGTGACAAATATACATAGGAACTGACCCAAAAGTCTTCTTTACAGGACACGATTGATTTATAACCTTAATTTACTTAAAGTCTTATTCTTAAGAAGTGCTATGCTTTCTACCTGTGAATACGGGCCACTCATGTTCTGCAAAATCATCTAGAAGAGCCGCCATGTTCCTTCTTCATCAGAGATAGACATATCTTTTGCAGTTGTATTTCTAAAACCTAGCAGAAGGTTCTAAGTGTCCCTTGGGTTTGAGCTTGTGTGATGGTCCAATAAAAATTTGTGTTAAAGATCTAAAAATTTAACCGTTAGAACTAAACTGCAATATTTCTAACTCTCAAACTTTTTTTGCCCAGGTTCTTAGTAAAGATAAGGTAAAATGACAACAATTTTTGAAGTCTACTGTATCCTTAAACTCTTGTGCTAATCTTGGCAAAAGATCTGAACTATGACTCTAGACCTGTTACGGGATCTTCAGATTCCACCATGCACTCCCCAGCCTCCACTCTCTCTTCTTTTCTTCCCTAAATTCATATTGACTGGCTGCCCTGAATTTCCACACTTTAGAAAATATACCTAAAAATAAAAAATATATCCATATATACATTATTTATTTATTTTTAGAGAGAGGAGAAAGGAGGGAGAAAAAGGAGAGACATATTGATGTGCGACAGAAACATTGATTGGTTGCCTCTCACAAGCCCCCAACTGGGAACCCGGCCTGCAGCCCAGGCATGTGCCCTGACCAAGGATTGATCCAGCAACCTTTTGGTTTGCAGGCCAACACTCAGTTCACTGAATCACACCAGCAAGGGCTGAATTTCCATACTTATGATGATATATTGTTACTATTAATAGGGTCTAGGTTTAAATCTTCACAAAACTGTCGAATCCCATCAACTCAAATTTATTTTCCCCTGGGAGTCTCTGTACATGTTCTAGCTTCTTCTAGTCTACAGATTTCTCTGGATTCTTTGTAGAATGAGTCTGGGTTATGGGAAAAGTTGTCTGTAGTTTTCGCTCATTCTGTGTTAAACAGTATCACATGCAGCAGTTCCTTCACCAGCCTGCATAAATCTCATGACTGGAGCACCTTGCTTTTCTAAATAGTTCAGTCTTATGCTCACTTGGCACTTCTGTGGGTCTGAGACTGTCCACGCACTGGAGTCCTCCTTGCTGTGGCTGGCTCTGCAGGTCCAGGCCCATAACTGCTTCCTTTTAAGAGATGTCAGAAATCCACATGGAGTAGTTTTCTGATGGTCTCTTAATCTGGGTCATGAAAATAAGCACTTATCTTTCATAACACTTTCTCACCAACAGGTGGCACTAATAATTCCCCTTAGTTTACCAGTACCCCAGTAGTAAGCCCTGTATGGCATTTAGATCTTATCTTTCACACTTTCTGAGTCAAAACATAGCTAATTTTAAGAGTGTCTCAGGAAAAAAGAAAATACAGCATTTCTGATCAAGTCTTTAGCATATTAACGCTCTTGGATTACTGGCACATAGATCTAGTACAGTCTCTTCTTTTAGTCCCACTTTAAACACCTTGATTAGTCTCCCTGCAAAAGAAGGTGACTAGAAGTCATGAGAAAAACACAGAAGGAAACACAAAATCCGTTTGTGGATGCCCCTTCCCATGGGGGAAAGGACGACTTTGGCGGAAGGCTTTATGGAAGCGATAAGACTTGAGTAGGACTAGTTGAAGAATGGGTGGAGTTTGGCTGGTGAGAGGGTAGAGGGAGGCTAATCAGGTTGAGGGGTGTAGAGGTGCTCATTCTAACGCTGTGGTAACTTCCACAGTGCCTGCCTTTCAGAGAGGTCGGGGTTGCTGCTTCCCTGATGACGATGAAGAAGGTAGTGATGGAGATGAGGATGATGATGACGACAGTGATGTTAGCTGCTAGGACTTAATGAGTGTGTTTCCCTTGTGCCAGGCACTGTGATAAGCACTCTCCCATAGGTCATCTCCTTGCTCATTGCACCTGCCCTTCGATATGGGCACAGTTGTCTCTGTCCTAGAGATGAGAACACAGAGGCACAGACAGCCTGAGTAACTAATGGTGTGAGGGTTTGCTGAAGTGTGGCATATTCATTTTCCTGTTTTCAAAGTAAAAAAAAAATCAACTGAGCTAAAACTAGTTTGTCAGAAGCCTAGAAAACACATCAGTGTTTACTCTCTTCCTTGGGAGAGAGCAGAGAAAGGCAAAGCAAAGCTCACTTGGTGTGGGTGACAAGGAACTGAGTGCCCCTGGTTGTTTGGAGTCAGGCCTTCTTTCACATGTGCCTGAACCTCCTCATTCTGTCCATTAGACAAGGGTTCTGTGAAGGGAAGCCCGTGGTTGGCCCCACAACTCTCAGAGGAGCGCACTGCTCACAAGCGGGGGTATGAGGCTCCAGGACACAGGCTGCCTTGCACCAAGGACTCCGGTTGTCACCGTTGCTTATTTCGGTGTATAGACTCTGACCTCAGTTTCTTCATGTGCAAAGTGGGGGTGATGGTACCTGCCTCTTGGGGGTATAGGATGGATTAGACAGGGTGGTATAAAATGCTGGCGGCAACAACATGGCCACCACTTACCTGTGCTTACTCCTTGCCGAATGCCTGGTGATCAGTTCTGCCATCTCCTAACACCAAGCCATCAATATCTCTCCACTAGTCCACAAACTTTGTAGATCCAACTGGTTTCATGTTAGTTTCTCTCAAAATAATATTCTTGTCTCACTACCACGCTGTACACCTGAAACTAATACAAAATAATATCTAATGTAAACTGTAATTGAAAAATAAGATTACAAAAAACTTTCCAATGCTCAAAATTTTAGCTTTTGGTTAAGAAATAAAAGAAAGTTTATCTAATTTATTCTTAACACCTTGTCCAGTGAGAGTATGATCTCAGTATCACTGGGTGACCGGAAGGGACGAATGCCAAGCCACTGGGTCTCCCACAGAGTCAAATGTTGGTGTAGTTTTGCACATGGAGGAAATATGTATATTTTGAATGGGATGAGAAACCCTATTACTCACTTCCCTTTCCTCCCTGCAGAGCGTACTGAGAACATTAAGTTAACAGTTTATGGTTGACTCAGCATCGCTCACTGGGATGTTAGTCGTTAAGTGCTCTCTGAGAGCGGGGCCCTAAGGACTGTTTTGATGGGTATGGACAGACGCTGGCAGCTGGGTGCCTCTGGGGCCGGGAAAGCCGGCCTGAGACTGGCAGGAGTGGTGCCACGTTCAAAGTGCGTAGTTCCTTTGGGGCAATCTGATCATTGACTAAGTGATTGGTTATATTAAGAAATCATTGGTGGTGGTTTTAGATGTGATAATGTGTAGTTACATTAAAAAAAATAATGCTTATCTTTGAAAGATGCATATTGAAATCTGAATTGATGATATGATTGAGTTTTGCTTGAAAATAACCTAATCTGGAGTGAGGAGTGTTAGTGAGGGATAGAATTGGAAACAAGATTGACCAAAATCCAATAACTGCTGTTAAAGCTGGGTGACAGGTATATGGCAGTTCCTTATATTCTTTTCTCTATTTTTGCATAATTTTGAAATTTTCCATAATAAAGAAGATTTTGTAGGTTCATGGTTCTGAGTGAGGGTGGAAAGGCCCCCCTCTGAGTAGGAGTGGGGGAGGTTTGGTGTGCAGACTCGGTGGGGTTCAAGTCCTGTGGGCTTATCAGAGACCCACTGAGAGCCTTCCTTGGTGTCTGGGAGTGACTTTGTGTCACATGTCGGTGAGCACACAGCCCGTGTCCGGTGAATACTGAATGAATAAATGAAAACAAAAAGGCCCAAAGCCCTGACCCTTCTCTTCCTGTCTTTGCAGTGGAGCCCAGGGGGAGTACGCTGGGCTGGCCACTATCCGGGCCTACCTAGAAGGGAAAGGCGAGGGACACAGAACGGTGAGTGTGGACAGGTGGTGTGTGCTCACCACCGGGCGGCAGTGGGCCTGGCTCCCGGGGTCCCTTTCGTTCTGTTGCACAATCCCTCTAAGCCTTCTTGGTAGCAGCTGCAGGAACATATAAGCAAGAAGCAAATTTCTGTGGGTTGGCCATTATGATTCTTGCCTCCAAGATGTTTCACTGGACCATTTTGAGAGGAAACATGCGGAGATAAAAGCCTTTGGTCAAATCCTGTCTGTAAAAGTCAGCCAGTTGGCTGCGAAACTGCTCTCCCGAGGGAGCCAAGGGAGTAAGGGGCCGAATGCTGCCATCCCAAGCCTCCTCTCCTTGGCTCAGCCCGGGCCCCAGGGCTGCACAAAGGGCAGAGACTGCACTTCGATTCTTCTGTAACTCCTACTGTGCCTAAGCACAGTCTGGTCTATGTGAGCTCAAAAAATATTTATTGAGTCAGTAAATGCTCTATTAAATGACTGTTGGCTCTAAGCACCAAAAGAAGACATGGAACAGAGTTCCTGGTTGTGCTTTATCATTTGCTTTAGGTATGAGAGTCTAGTCTCCAGGGTCCAAACTATCCTTGGAGGCCCTTGTAGGTTCCAGTGGGTACTAATGGGCTCGACAGGACCCCCAATGTCCAGAAGCAGTGCCTGTAGCAGTTGATCTGGTACAGGCTTCGTGTGGTGGCTGAAGGAGGTCTGTGTTCTGGGACCTTCACTCTGCTGATGACCAATGCTGAGCTAGAACTTCCACCGAATTCAGAGGTGGGGTTCTTAGAAGGAGCAGTGGGTAGGAGTCAAGAGCAGGACAAAAGCATCTGCCGATCCCAGGAGAGTTGGAGAAAGGGGTGCTTGGATGGGTCTGGCTGCCTAAGTGAGCGGGATGTAATAGGTGGTGGCCCAATCTTAGTCCATTCCTGGTTTTATTAAAACTGGGATTGTTTATGGCTAGTTGCCTGGATTTTGCAATGAGAATCTAAAAACTGTTTCACTTCCCTTTCAAAAAGGGGAAGGAAATAAGACCATTTTCTCTCTCATTCCCTTGCTTAGTCATTCTGATTCCACAGGTGTGTTTTCCCAGACATTTGACGGGGCTGGAGAACAGAATTGCTTTTCAAAGATCTTTGAAAACCAAGACATTCGCTAGTTGAATAAGTTACTGAACACTGGCTACACGCGAGGCGCTGTGTGCCCCAGTCCAGAGACACAGTCCCTCACGTTCCAACTGTTTTTTTTTTCACTTGCATTTTTTGTGGTTTTGAATTCCTCAGCTTTCGAAGGAAGGGTTAGTTTAGAACTACATAATTGTTTTTGGACCACAGAGTCTCAGCACTGTCATAGAATCGGAAAGGAAATGTTGAGGCCCCAGTTGTCCAGTGAAAGGATAATAACAGACGACTGACATTAAAAGTTCCCTCTTCTGTTTTTCCTCCTTGGCCTCCCTGTACTGAGGCAGCCCATGGAGCTCCTCGTCAGTGATTACGCTCTTTAACCACGGGAGGTCTGGGTCTCCTGGGGAAGGGTCTGTTTATCCTGTGTGGCCAGCTCCACGCTGCTCCCCTCCCTGACCCCACTTTATGGGGTCTGCTTTATGGTATTCATAGAAGGCCAGCGAAGAGCTAATGACAAAGGGTGAGCTAAAATCCTGGTTCCATCACTCTGTGATGCTTCTCACCCCTCGTTGTTTCCCAGTTCTCCAGTCTGGCACCCAGAAATATCTGAGAATGTCCATAAACTGGGGGCCAGTCTGGAAAGGGCAAAGAGGAAGGCTGAGAGACCTTCTGATTGGGCCTCCCTTCTGTGACTCAAATTCTTTCCAGCACCTTTACCCTTTCTTTGTGTTTTCCAGTCCTCCCTTCTCTCTCTGTTTCCTTGCATGTGATGTTTCTTCTGGCCCCACAGAGCTTTCGCTGATGCGTTGTGAGGACTCTTCCATCCTGAAGGACAGAGAGGGGCTGGTGCCACATTTTAGGCAGGGAAGGTGGCCCAGTCACTGAGTGTGTACAGAACCCATACCTTTGAAAATGTTGGCATCCTCTTTAGATGACAGATTTTAATTAAAGCTAACTTTTTTAGCTAGAGAAGAGGAAAATGACTGACTTGCACCAGAGATGTCCGAGACAGCTGCTGCAGCGCAGTAGACTAATGGAACCCAGTAAGATAAGAAGTGTGGGGAAGTCCTGTGCCGCAGGAACACCCAGGCTCCCGAGGTTTCTCTTGTTTAAAGCTATTTTTGGAAGTTTTTTTCACTTTGCTTTTCGGTTAAACTTCAGGGGTTCCTAAAATGCAACAGCCAAGTTCTAGATTTACCAGTTTAATTTGGGAGAATGCAAATTTATTTAACACATTCTTATATCACAAGCACCAGGTGCCTGGCAGTGTCCTAAACACTTTGTCACAACTCAGTTTGCTAGTCAGGTTTGCTAATTAAAGACTGAATTTCCTATACAAAGAAAAAATGTTCCCACACACACACACACACACACACACCAAAACACACCTCCCCAAAACCTGTATGTACCTTTCTCTTTCTAATTTCCTGAGGCAAAGTAATGGCTTTTGGTTGTTCAGTTATTACCATCAGTGAGAAATTGGTTTCTCTTGCCAAGGTGCATTCCGCCTGAATCCTTCAAGGGTGAGTTGAGCTGTGCTGGTCTACACCAGACACACTGGGGACTTAGTAAAATGCTGCATCTTCAAATGGGCATAAAGGTACCAAACTGGATTGGTTTGGGATAAACTAAAACATCAGGTCTGTGTCCTGTTGTTTCCATGTCCCTCATAACACCACAGTTGTAAATGTGAAAAAGCTAATGTTAATAAAATAGTTTCCTAAATCTATATAGGAAATCAGAAATGTCTAATAGCAACATAGAAAAGAGTCATTGACAAAACTACTGAGACTTTTTTCTTTCTATTACTTCTTGTGTCAGAATGTGCACTGGCTTTCAGTGGCTGCTGTAACAAATTACTACAAAATTAGTAGCTTAAAATAATACGTTTTTATTTTCTTGCAGTCAGTGGAGACCACAGTCTGAAATTGGTTTCACTTGGCTAAAGCGGAGGCATTGGCGTGGCTGGTTCCTCTGAAGGATCCAGGAGAGAACCTGTTTCTTTGCCTTTCCTTCCCAGCCTCCGGAGGCCCCTGCACCCCTTGGCCCCCTCCCGCCATCACCCCGACCTCTGTGCAGGCATCACATCTCCTACTTCCTTTGTGGTCCTGTCCCTCCTGCCTCCTTCTGATGAGAACGCTAGTGAATACACGTGGAGCCAAACCTACAATCCAGATTTCCAGATCCCATTTTAAGATCCTTAATCTCTCTTCTCGAGACCCCTAACTCAATCACACCAACAAAGTCCCTCTTGCCACATGAGGTAACATTCATGGATTCTGGGGATTAGGGTGTGGACATCTTCAGAGGCCTGTTATTCAGTGTACCACTGGATGGTTGACATTTTTAGCTTGAATGTTTTTATTTCACCAGCACTTCCCTCATATGAATTCTTAACTGAGGTATTTAACAAATATTTTATATTCATTTTTAACACTCACCTTGATAAATGTCCTGTCCCTAGGGATCCTTTCATCCACGGATCCTTTGGTAGAGTAAAAATACCCTGTGAGAAAGGAGAAGTGACTCTAGCTTTGGGCCTGAGAAATTAAAGAGAATTTAATAGAAATGGGAGGCATTTGAACAAGGAAAAGGATTTGAAGACAACACAGCATAACCAGCATGAAACCAGTAGCCGTTTAAAAGAGGCACAAACTTTCTGTCAGCAGGAGAGTGACAAAGTCATTTCACGTGTGCGTCTGGTTACAGTTCCCTTTTTGTACACATGTATTTTTACTAAGTGGATGACTCCGCTGCATTTGAGGAACAGCTGTGAACTAAGTTTTCCTTTCATAAGCCCATTTTACAATGTGCATGCATTTCTTTTCAAGGGGTTGCAATATTGTTGCTGGGATAAAAGAAAACAAAACAAAAGAGGAGGATTATTTTTTAGGGTGCTTGTTGCTTTTTTTGTTGTTGTTCTCTTTTAGAAAAAGTCCCTGATGCATTTTCCTGTAGTGAGGCATGGGCGGATCTACCAGAGCAGGAGTTTTCACCTGTGTTTGTGTGATTTGGGGGCGTAAATGAAAATGATTTAAACCTGGGAATTCTAACATTGCTCCCCACCGCCTTTCCATAAGAATTTGATACATCTTTAAGCTCTAGCTCTTGAGACACTTTTTCCTGATCTTTCCAATTTGAAGTGACCCCCCTCCCTGTCTCCCTCATTCCAAGTCCCTCCAGCACCTGTGGGCTTTAGACATTGATTTCTACGTATGGCAGCGCTGTCAGTGAGCAAGTCGTGAGAGCACCGGGCACAAGTGGACTAGATTTTATGCTTAGTTGGTGATTCTCATAGAGTCTAACAATTTGTTGCACAGAATAAGCAGCCCATAGATGGTGATGTAATTGGTGCATCGACACTGGGAGGCCCTGGCTTTCTGCTTCCATTTTCATGTCTTCCTGTTCCCAGCAGAGCCAAGCAGAGCACCGATGCTGTGATGTGCACATTTGAGTCCTAGAGTTGAACTTCCAATCTTTTGTTCTTGTAAGATGGTTTCTGCACATTATAACTCAGACAAGGGTAGAATAAGCCCTGCTCTATTCTGGTGTGCTGTGATAAGGGAGGGGAGTACTTAGGGCACATTATTTGGGGATCCAAATGGAAACTCTTCTTACAGACATTGTTTTGCACTATAGTAACAATGATGCTGCAGCAGATTTCAAGGTGCTGGTGGTCAGTTTAAATAAAGGACATGCTCTGAGCATGTTGTAGGACTTTCTGTCATTATGAATAGCCTGGTGATTATTTCTTCTTTTCTTCCTTTCATTCCATTCCTAAGGTTTGCCTCATTCCAAAATCAGCTCATGGGACCAATCCTGCTAGTGCCTACATGGCAGGCATGAAGATCCAGCCTGTGGAGGTGGATAAATACGGGAATATTGACACGGCTCACCTTAAGGCCATGGTACCCATCTTCCATTGAACAGATGGGAGAGGTCTGGGTTGGGAAGAGGTGGTGGGGATCAGGGACTGGATGGTTTTTATCAATATTGTCTTCTGTTGCATTATAATGAAAAAACTGCAGTTCCTCCTCTGAATGGGTCTGGGGAAAATGACATAAAATCAGAAAACCTAACTGTTTCTGTAAGAACAATAAAAAGCAACAGTCATATTTTTCAGTCTAGGAGAAAGCTGACCATAGTCTACTTTATCACTTCCTTCACCCACAGGGAGAAGGTCCTTTAAATTGAAATTCCATCCTCTAATTTATGCATGTGTAAGAAACTGAATGAATTATTCATGGTGGTAGTAAGGGTATTCCTTGCAGGACCTACCTACTCCTGCCCAACCTACCCCCCTTCCTCCATTAATAATCAGACCGCCTTCACTGGCAGTCACAGTTTTTCTGTCTTTGTGTTGGGAAATAAAACCTAAGTGTAGATTTTGCAAATGTCTGTGGCCATCCCAGCCATGAATTTCCGGAGGCATTCCACCCTCCTTCCTGAAACACCAACCCCCACCCCCAACTTCCCAACCTCCAGGAAGAGGTTGCCTAGCAACCGTATCTGCTTTCCACTGGTGGACTGGAGGCTGCATCTGAAGAGAGAAGGAAATCAGTTGAATAGCAATGTGATTTTGTCAGGGTTATTAGGCATGGAGTCTGGGAACTTCAAGTAACTGATTTCAAAGGGAAGCTGAAAATACACAACACTGCTCATCTCACATCCATCTCCTCTCTTGCTTCATGCCACAGAGTTTTTACCGACAAATATTCTGGGTCTGTAGTTGCAATCATAAAGTCTCTCCAATGTAGGCTATGACCTTAAACATTCTTCTAAAATTTTTTACACAAATCCACTCTGACTTGCTGGCCAGAAAAACAAACTTTTTATATCTTGCCTTTTAGATATGCTTGCCTTCTCTCAAAAGGAGAAATGAGGGACATATATATATATATATTTATCAGAGCGGGAACACTCCTTTTCGAAAATCTAATTTCAACGGGATGGGAGGGAGAGGGAGTAAGTGTGGATATGGAATGGAAACATAAGCAGGGGGAGATTAACTGTGAGAATAGACATGTCTGGAATCAAAAAGATCTGAAATAATGACCGAGATGAAAGACAAACCACTTTGGGGAGTTGAGCCCAAAATATCTAAAACACCTGAACAGTCGTTTTGGTCTTGACCATGGAGATCTAGCCTGGAGAGATCTTGTTATTTCCTTGGAATGATTAATGAAGGGAGTAATGGCCAAGGATCTTTTATTGCTGTCATACTTTGAGATAATTTCGGAAGTGAAAAGATCAAGACTTCATCTCTCTTAATCCTTTAAAATAAAAAGCAAGGGTTTGACCTAGAAAGAAAGGTCTCCTCCTTGGTGTCCTTGTGCCCTTTTCTACCCCACAGGTGGATAAGCACAAGGAGCACCTGGCAGCGATCATGATTACATACCCATCCACCAACGGGGTGTTTGAAGAGAACATCAGCGACGTGTGTGACCTGATTCACCAACATGGGGGCCAGGTCTACCTCGACGGAGCAAATATGAATGCCCAGGTGGGCAATATGGGATGGGCTCTCTGAGAAAACTGTTATGTGAAAAAACCTTTTTTTTCTTTTTAAAGATTTTACTTCTTTATTTTTAGAGAGAGGGAAAAGGAGGGAGAAAAAGAGGGAAACATCAAAGTGTGGTAACCTCTCACATGTCCCCATTACTGGGGACCTGGTGTACAACCCAGGCATGTGCCCTGACTGGGAATGGAACCGGCAACTCTTTGGTTTGCAGGCCAGCACTTAATCCACTGAGCCACATCAGCCACAGCTCTTTTCTCTCACTTCTTGACAGTTACCTTAAAGAATGACACTGAATTCAGAGCTGAGGCTGACTTTATTGCCAATTTCAAACAAAGTACCCAAATTTCACTGGGTTTATAGATCCTAGATTAGTTGGTGGGGAATGTTGGGGAGGAGGCAAAGAGGTTGAAAGGAAACAAGGAAAGAACTGAATGCCCTTAGCTCTTCAGGGGTATGATCCCTCTGGAGGTGCTACTGGCAAGAAGTTCACCTGGCTGCCTTCCTGAGGGAATTCAGACCCAAGTTCTGGCCACAGGTGAACGTTGATCCGCCATTAACCTGGCATCAGCTCCATCAGTATGAAACAGCTGAATAGTTCTGACCTGACCTGACCCCCAGTAGAGTCTGACTACTGGGGAAGCGGGGAGGGGAGCGGTCTGTGTAATGTGTGCCTCTGAGGAAATGCTATAAGGAGCCATTAGAGCAGAAGAGTGTCATTATCTCTTTCAGACTCTTAATTTATTTTTCACTTTTTGCTTTCTTTAGTATTTCAGACTCTTTCTGCCTTTTTTTCTCCCTTCTCTCCAATTCCTTGTGTAAGTGTAGGCCAGGAATTGTTTATTGCTTCAATAACATAAATACATTCTTTATCTTTGGCCATGTTCAAAATCAGCCCTAATGCCTAAGTGGCTGGGATGTCTGTTGAATGTTGTTGGCATCAGGATGGTCTCAGGAAAACCGACAGCCTCCCTTCCTCTCCCTGGGCTCAGCATCCTCTCGGGAAACTCTTCAAGTCCCTTCCATCAAGGTGCCCGAAGCCAGTTGTGCAGGGGGGAGTGGAACTGCCGGGTGGGGGGAAATTTGCCTGCTTCAGCACTCTCCTTTCTTGTACTGGGGCACTTTCTCTCCTCGCTCTTGGGGTGGGTAATTAGGAATTGACTATATATTCAAATCTGTATTTTAGAATCTAAATTAGGTTAAATGGTCAGTTGCTGTTTCCACAGAAACCACAAGCCACGCTGCCTATGGAATGCCAGGCTTTGCCTGCAGAACTCGGCCAGTATGAGGATGCCTCTGTGAACAGCTCTGCCTGCCTTTGCGCTGGGGGAGGGGGCAGCAAACAGCGTGGCCGCCTCTCCACAGCACCCTTTCAAGTTCTTGACTTTTGCTCTTGGCTCTTTCCCTTTGTGGTAGGTGGGAATCTGCCGTCCTGGAGACTTTGGGTCTGATGTCTCACACCTAAATCTTCACAAGACCTTCTGCATTCCCCACGGAGGTGGCGGCCCTGGCATGGGGCCCATCGGAGTGTGAGTTCTGGGCGGCTGGTTTCAGCAGGGCTTTGGAGAAAGAATGAGAGAATGGCCCAAACTCGCTATCAGTCCCAGTGAGGTCTTCAAGTGTTGAGGTCGTCTTCCTAAGCAGTGTGCCTATAGGGCTGGGGGAGGAGTGGTGAAAGGGACACTTTTAGGACGATAGGGTCCAAAGAGGACCCTAATGAAATTGTATTAACCACAGTGTGTCATTGGCCACAATAAGCTCCCATTTCATGCACAGACAGGGTAATGAAGAGGGAGCTCCACCGGAGTATTATAGATCAGAACTGGCATGTTAGTGCCTGGAAGTGCTTTTCGGACCTAGGCTTTCAAGCACCTTTGTTTTTTTTTCTTTCTTTCTCTTTAAAATCAGCTGATGGTTACATTGAAAATGAATTATCTACCATCAACAATAAAAGAACTCATACTAAAAAAGTGGCTGCCAGGAGCTGTGGGGCAGGGTGCAGTGGGGAGTTGAGAGAGGTTGGTGAGAAGGTACAAACTTTCAGCTCTGAGAGGATAAGGTCTGAGGACCCAACATGTAACGTGGTGGCTGCAGTTTGATAGCACTGTATTGGGTTGGCCAGAAAGTTTGTTTAGTTTTTTCTATCAAATAAAAAACATGTTTTTCATGTTCATTTTGAATATGTCAGCTATCTCCTGGTATTGGCTTCTAGTGGGAAGAGGCCAGGGCTGCTGCTAAACATCTCCCAATGAATGTATAAGACAGCCCCTCAGCAAAGAATCATTTAGCCAGAATGTCAGTAGTACCAAGGAACTTTGCAAACCATTTATGACACGTTCGGTCAGTCACAGCACCTTCTCTACATGCTGCACAAATCTTTTTTTGTGTTTCAGTTGCATTTTTACCTTTCTTGAGATAATACAGCATAATGTGCCAAGATTGTTGCATATCTTCTTTCATCTTTAATGTTAAAATGGCTGTACAAAATTTCACCGCTTTAAATAAATTCTTTTTTACTTTTTAATTTTTTAATATATATTTTTACTGTCTTAATTTTTTAAAAATATATTTTATTGATTATGCTGTTACAGTTTTCCCATTTTTTCCTCCCCTTTATTCTCCTCTGCCCTGCAACCCCCTCCCACCAGCAGTTCCCCCAGTTCATGTCCATGGGTCATACATATAAGTTCTTTGGCTTCTCCATTTCCTGTACTATTCTTAACCTCCCCCTGTTTAGTTTGTACCTACCGTTTATGCTTCTTATTTCCTGTACCTTTCCCCCCATTCTCCTCCTTTCCCCTCCCCACTGATAACCCTCCATGTGATGTCCATTTCTGTGATTTTGTTTCTGTTCCAGTTCTTCTAGGACCCTGTGGGCCTCTCCAAAGAACTCTCCTGTGAGGCTGGGAGTTTATTCCGTCTCCGCAACCCCCAGAGATTTTTATAGCCAGAGGTTTTTGAGGCTTTATTTCCCCATGTTGGAACCTGGGGGTGTGTGGTCTGTCTCATTCCCCACTTGTTCCTCCTGGTTTATCTGCACGTGAATGCGAAACTGACCAGTCTGCTAGCCTCTGCCTTGCCGTGAATCTTCTCTGCCCCTCCTACCAGTCTAAATTAATGTTTCTTCTTTAGCTCCTGGGTTGTCAGACTTCTGTACAGTTCGATTTTCTGGCAGTTCTGGTTATTTTTTGTTTTTAAATTTGTTGTTGTCTATCTTTTGGTTGTGTGTGGAGGCAAAGTGTATCTACCTATGCCTCCATCTTGGCCAGAAGTTGCCCGATAAGTTCTTTTTTAAATGCATGCTGATATGACAGCTGTCACAACACAATTTAACAAAATTGTTTCAATTGAAGTTAAAAAACAACCAAACACTACTAGAGCCATCGTAGAGAAAAAGCTGAATGCACTTTAACTAACTCCATATCTATAGTCAAAATTTGCTAAGAGAGTAAAACTTAAATGTTCTTATCTCCACTCCCCCCAAATGAATTGTATGTGAAGAGTTAAGTACTTTGTAGCTTGAATTCTTATTAGATCTGATATGAGTAAGAAGGAAACAAAACTTATTACTAGAAATAACTGGCTCAATTCAAAATAAGACCAAAGGAATATACTGTAGCTGTTATTTCATTTTACACCGTGAGGTAAAATAATGAAAATGAAGCTGAGAGCTGAGTAGCCATATCCTGAGCTTCAGTCTTCCAAAAATGTGCCAAAGGAGCCAGTCTTCAGCGTTGTCAGGGTCCTGACCCCCTTTGTTCTGCTTTCCTTTTTGATTTTTTATTTATTGTGAGTGGAAGAGGCTCAGTGCCTCAGTTCTGGGGAAGGTGTGGTGAATGGTGTTCACATGCAACTTTTGGTGTGTAGCTTCTCAGCAGCGCCCTTCTGAATCCCTTAGATGCCTCGGGAAAGAGTGCAGGCTGTGGAGCTGGGAGGGAGCGGGGATGGGGCTGGAAGTCCCCCCATCCTGGGGACCACGTGGCTCTGCAGGCTACCCCACGGCTGCCTGCCTCCGTCAAATCCTCCACCACAGTGCTCGGCTGGTGGGCCATGCTTCCAGTGAAGGAGGAAGGAAGGAACAGCTTCCTGAACAGCTGCCTCTTCACTGATGTCAGGTCTCTTCCATTGACAGAGTTCCTCTCTCAGGAATAGAGCTTCCTGAGAGAGCCCAAAACCTACCTGTTCAGCTGGGCTGGATCTTTTTACATCTTCTGCATTTGTATTTGAAAACTACAGGAAGAAGCATCTTGCCCCTTTTCTGCCCAATCATCCTATCATTTTGGTAAAGCCAGATGAAGATGCCCGGCCTGTGGGTACTGTCAGTGCAGCCCCGTGGGGCTCCAGCTCCATCTTGCCCATCTCATGGGCTTATATTAAGGTGAGACCTGTGGGTGTGGAAGAGGGGGATGTGGATGTGTTAGTGGGGAACTGAGGTCACAGGCTTCCTTCTTAACTTAAAAATGTAAAAAGTCCATGATCTGAGCTGTGGTCAGTGAAGATTGCTGATGACTTCGGATGGAAGAAACCTCCCTACAGAGGTCAGCTGAAATTCATTTGATCTCATCCTCGTTATGCCATTTCCTTTGGGTTCTCACAGTGGGTTTAACAACAGAGAAGTTAACACACCAGACATATTTTTCCAGACAGAGTTAAGTTCTATGAGTCATGTGGATGTTCTGGCCACGTCATTTGGTTTCCTGTAGGATTTATACCTCCTCTTGCAAGTGAAAAAACAGTGTGCATACTAATTATTACACTTGGTTGAGATCCTGAGATAAATTTTAGAAATCCATCTCCTCTAGCTTTATATTCCTTGGAAGCTGGGAGGATAGGAAGAGAAGTAGCAGAAATTTGTTTATGCGCTGGTTTCCCAAAGCTCTTTGCCCTTTACAGTCTGTGGAACTGTACTCTCGGGGGTAATTAGACTTTGTTAGGGCACAGGCTCCCTTCCTATGTGTTTCTCTACAAAACATGAGGGCCAGAGTTTATACAGCTCTTGTTCAAATGGGTCCGCCTGCCTCCTGGGCTGACAAGACGGTGTGTTGGACAGAAACACTTGTTCGGCTGCTAATCAGAGCAGCCTTCCCAGACTGGCTCCCCTCCTCGGAGGAAGGGTGGCTTCTGCTGAAACAAAACCCCAAACTCAGCTATGCAAATCATGCCCGATGACTCTCTGGGGCTGCCTGTTATTCTTGAACAGCGTGGCATTTATGATACTTAGGGAAAACTTTCCGGGAAGCTGGAACAACAATTCTGTACCTCAGAGACTAAATCCTGCTTTTTAAAATGATCCTTGAGTTGTTTTACAAATAGTAACAGCCAAAACAGTCATAGGAAAGGCCTGCTTCTTTGCAAACAGAATCTAATTCCCAGCTTGGTCCCAAGGTCCTATACACCTGGGCTCTTTGTTATGAACCTCTTTGGGTTGGAGGTGATTTCCCACATATAGAAAATAAATGCCTTGGGCTGATTTGGCCATAAGCCAGGAACACTAGACAGAGCCTCAGTTTAAAAGTGAAGTATTGTGAATAAAATAGGGTTTAAGATACAGGTTTGACTTTGGGCCCTTTCTTTGTTTCAGGCTGTTGTTACTTATCACCAGGAGAACTACCTGTTCGCTCCCTGCTTCAGTCCATCTTGGACACTCCCTACAGGACTGCTAACCCCTCAGGACCCAAATTCACCCCTTGCTTCCCTTTGCACTCACCACTGGGTCTCACTAGTCTAGTAGAATCCTTAGGGGATTCTCCCCAAATTCACATGCCTAGGTTCCAGAGAGAATCAAACTCAGCATATATGGGGTAGGGCTTGGGCCAGCAGGCTGCTCTGTAACTCTGATGCACAACTCGAGAGCCAGCGGCTCTCTGGACCAAGTACAAGTCCTCTCTAGCAAAGGTCTGAGGCTTGCAAGAGGTGGTCACAACTCACCAGGCTCTACAGTAGCTCCCAGACTGCAGCCTTGGCCTTCCCTTCTACCCCTTGGATTTTGCTGTTCTTCTCACCTGGAGTGACTTCCTCTTTCTCGTCTATCCCAATTCTACCCGTTTTTAAGTTTCCATTCAAGTTCTAACTCTTATTCTAGGAACCTCTCTTTTATCAGCCTGGCAAAATGTGTCCTCTCCTTACTTTGGACTTCAGTGCTCCTGTTATTTTTTTCTGATGCTTTCTCATGTGCTTTACATTAGTTTTGTATTTAATGCATATCAAGCCTCCATTGTACATGGAGAAAGTGGCAGTAAAAATTGTGTAGTCTTGACTTCAAGCTTTTTGCTGGAGATGATGTTCACCCCATATAATCACAGGGACTTCTGACCCAGCAGAAAAGGATACGATTGAACCCAGCAGTTGTTCAATGGCCTTGACTGTGGACAGTTGGAAGACAAACCATATAAAATTGATTCAGTGGGGATTTTGGCCAAGATCCCATGGGATTCTTGGCAGTTATCAAGACATCTCAAATTCACAGTTTACTGGGAATTTTTGTTTGTGAACAAACAAAAACTCCCCTAAAAGATTTTAACCTAAAGCCAATTCATTTTCCTTTTCAGATTAACACAATAGTCAGCAGTGAATTTTGCCCTGCTCTAGGCTTTGTTATTATAATAAGAAGTGCTAAGATTCCTGTTCAAAGAAGAAAACCAAAAATTATTTCAGGCTTAGAGAGGACTGACGAATGTTTTTGTTAGTATTTCCCACTCATCTTTAATTTACAGGTTGATGGTGGGCTGACTTCCTTGTAGGGGGATTTCTCCAGGGTGTCTTTGTTTAGTGCCCACTGAGTTTACCTGTTCCACGGTTAATAGCTCTTTTTCCCTCTGTTGCAGATGATGGGAGGCAAAGGCCTTAAACAAGCTACGGAAATTGCTATTTTAAATGCCAACTACATGGCCAAGCGATTAGAAAAACACTACAGAGTTCTTTTCCGGGGTGCAAGAGGCAAGTATTAACTTTAGTCTATCATCACTTTGTTTTTCCCTCGGCCAGACCAAGTTTGACAGAGTAGATGTGGTTTTCTGAAGTGGGTGGAAAGCATGTGTTTCTTAGTGTAAACCACAGAAAAGTACAGAGTTGTTAGAAATAACTTCAATTTAGTGAGCAGTTCAGGAACATCAGCATTTGCAAGGCTCTGTGATGAAGTTAGTCCACATGGCCCAGGCCAACACCGCTGACAGATAGACACACAAATGTCACAGGCTCCTTACCTCACAGAGTGATATGGGAATGCCCCCAAAGAGTAGAGAAATTCAGATCAGGCAGAGGCAGGACGGAATAGCCGGGAGAGCCTCCTGGGAGGAGCCATTTGAGATGGATCTGGAAGGAGGTGTGGTAGAGTCCAAGCAAACCGAGATCCAGGAGGCAGCCAGGGACACGGGAGTGGCCTGGGTGGCGGGAGTGTTGAATGGGGTGAAGGGTGGGATAGGAGGGGAGGGATCGGATGAGGATGAGGTTGGAGAGGTGTCATGGGGCCTTGAAGGTCTTGGAAGGCTCTGGACTTCACTTTGGAGCCAGAAAGGTTTTTGAGGAAAAGAATGAGAGGATTAAGAGAATGTTGAAATTGTTAAGGCAGTGGCATGGGATGAACATGCTATTAGAAGTAGAATCAGCCCTGGCCAGTGGGGTAGGAGGTTGTAGCATCATCCTGTGACTGAAAGGTTGTGGGTTCAATTCCCAGTCAGGGCACATACCTAGGTTGTGGGTTCGTCCCTGGTCCAGGCGCGAGTGGATATGATCCTGCATCCTGGGGCGGATCCCTAGTCTGGGTGTGTAGGAAGGCAACGGACAGATGCTTCTCTTGCACTGATGTTTCTCCCTCTCCCTTCCCCTCTCTCCCTCTGAAAAAGCAAGTGAAAATGTCCTCTGGTAAGGATTAAAAAAAAAAGAAGAATCATTGAAAGTTACTGATGAGTTGAGTGTAAAGAAAATTTTAGGAAAACCTTTAAGCTCCTAGGCTTGTAATAGAGGGAATAATAGATGGAGGAACAAAGTCACCCTAGAGGTGACAGGAGAGGTGGTGCCAGGTAGACACAGCACATTGGCTGCGGGCTCAGAATCCAAGGGCAGAGACAGAGGGGAGCTGGCGTGGAGACAGCGGCCGGTGAGCAGTGTGCCCAGACCTTGGCCACGGGAATGAGGCCCCTCTTCGGCTTTGGGTTTCTCTGGCCCAGGAGGAACGTACATTTACCTCTGTGATTTTTCATTTAAAGGCTGGTCTTATCTTATAAATATGTACCCAAAGTGATAGCGCTTGAAAATAGAGAAGAACTAAATAATCAGAGCTCTGAAAAGCTCCCCAGAGAGTAGGCAAGAAAGTTGTGGGCAGTCTGTCTCTAAGCAGCGCAATGAAATGCTTCTGAAGTGGATATTAAAGAAGCCACTAGGGCTACTAATTAATTCAAATACGTCTCTTACACTGAGAAATGCATCCTGCTTATGTATTGACTTTTGGGGATTGCTTCAGTGTTTGTTTTGCTTGGTTATATAATAATATATAGACACTCAACAGGGAAAAGTTGGCAAATAAAAAAGTAGGGGGAAGAAAATGTAAATGATCCACAGTTCTCCCCAGCAGACGTAACTACCAGTAATATGTTGCTGTGTTCCTTGTCATCTTAGTTTTAGACTGTTGAGGTCATATTATAAACACAGTTTATACCCTGTTTTTTAAACTTTATCTTATACTGCAACCATTTTCCCCATGCCATGAAATGCTCTTTGAAAGTGGCTCTGTCAGTTCTCTTGTGTGAGTGCGCCGTGGTTTAAGCCATTCTGTAGGCTTTCCTGCCAGAGTCTGCGTTTCTAACAATGCTGCAATGAATATCCTTTACTTATATTTAAAAAAAAAATCTCAGACTAGTTCCTTAGGTTACAGTTACAGAGGAGAAGTTTTGTGTCAGAGGAAATGAGTTCTGTGAATTCACTTCAGCTCTTGATGCATGTGGCCGAGTTGCCCCCGAGACTCGGTACCAGTTTGTTTTGTAGTGTTAGCCGGTGAGACAACCATTGCACCAGGGCCCAGTGAGCGGGAAAATGCAACACAAACCAAAACCAAAATGTCTTTGCCAAGTCGATGAGTCAAAAGCAATCTTTTTGCTTCAATTTAAACAAGATTATGGGTTTTTTCCTATTTTTAAATTTATATTGAAAATTTCTTTATGATTAACTATATTTGACAACTTCATGGAGATAGAATTCACATACCATACAAATCAACTTAGTAAAATGTACAATTCAGTGATTTTTGGTATGAGCCAGAGCTGTGTGATGCACAGTTTAGCTCTTTAAAGCAGGAATGAATGTGACCTGGACAGAGCTGGGTAGACGGCCCCCCGCAGTGAGGAGAGTCAGCTGGCGTTTCTCCCGGGCTCACCAGTGCTCAGCGTTCCAGTGGCTGCTTTGGGCAGAGATGGTCCTAATCCAAAGGGATTTGCAGCACAAAAAAGAGAAATAAAATTTCCATTTGTTTCGACATTTTACCCCAGAATTAAATAATGAATCCATTTCTCATCCCAAGCAGAGGAAGATTGGTGATCACAGACTTTATTTCCCAGCCTCAAAGTTCATGAAACCAAACATTGTCTCATGGTTGATCTGGTAAACACAGTCATACAACTTGAGGCTTCCTGTTTTAGGTCCCTGAAAAGAATTAGCACTGTACCTCCCAAGGGCCCAAAATAGAAATGTTTTGAAACACATTGTATTCCAAAATGTCTAATGGCAATATTTGAAGACCATTATTCATCTTAATTCTCTTTACTAGCTCTAAATAAGACTTCAGAGTTACTGATGACTATGAGGCAATAATTTTAATGAACTCCAGGCCTCTCTTTATGAACCGTTTTTTTTTTTTTTTTTTGAGAGATTTAAAAATATGAGCTAAACAGTTGAGGCTTATGGTTTTGCAAAGCAAAGAAGTGGCAGACAAGAACTGGGATGAGGAGCAGCAGTAGTATTTATTTTGCTAGGCTGTGGAAAGAAGGAATTACCTCATGTAAAACACCTTTTCAAAGGATGAATTTAAAAAACTTTGTCCTGGCTGGGTATCCCAGTTGCTTAGAGCATCATCTCAATACTCCAAGGTTGCAGGTTCAATCACCATCAGGGTACATATAAGAATCGACCAATGAATACATCAATAAGTAGTACAACAAATTGATGTTTCTCTCTCTCCCTCCCTTCCTCTCTCTGTCTCTAAATTAATTAATTAAAAAAATTAAAAAATTCACAGGTGTCTGTCTACTCTTGTAGAGGCTATGCTCAGTGTTTGATGATCTAACTGGAGTTCCTGTCAGTGGGTTAGACAACTTTGTTCATATCCCAGTGTTTCATTTATGTTTTAAATTTTTAAGTGCCTGTTTAGTTTTGACCTTGGATAAACCGAACTCTTCTTGGAAATTCTTGTCCCTGAAGAGGCTTCCCAGTGACCTTTAAAGAGTGGACATGGGATGGGCGTCAGGAGCTGGGCCCTCACATTCCTGGCTGGGGGGGGGCACTCCTCCTGAGGCCAGGAGCCCTGCCTAACCTACCTCACTCCCAGGAAAACAGTCAGGGCTTTGGATTCTGTTAGTTGTGGTCCCTGGATTGCAACTGAAAAGCCTGACTGAGTGTTGATTCCCCACCCAAGCTATGTAATCAGCCAGTGAGTCCATGTATTTCTAGGCCGTCACTCTGAGGCTTAGGGATAAGCCTGTTCTCAAGGAGGGTCTTGAGAAGTCATCTTTTTCTGTAGCATGTTCTGTAGCTTCGAAAGATAATTAACTCCCTAGTGGGGGTTGGGAGAGAAGATGTCGTAATCCCGAAGTCAAGCCACTTTTATTTTGCTTTTCCATCATCCCACCCACTCCTCTCCTTGCTCCTTTGATTTGGCGTCTATTCAGACTCTCAGCTGTCGTCATGGTTAGGCCCAGCGGAAACACCTACTCAGGGGAAATGAAAACTTGCACTGAGCAGCTTATACAATTTCTACTTCAGATTGCCCTGACTCACCATATGCCATAGAAGGTTTGTATATCTTTTCTCCTTAAAACTGCAAACGAAGATGAACATCTTGGGATCTAGCCTCCAAAAGCCACCAAGTTTAAATTTCACCCCTTTCAGGCCTCAAACAGAGAGAGAGAAAGGGAGAGAGGCTGAAATTCCACTACAGTTTCTATTTGAATGCCCTCGACTATGGATTTAGAAAATAACATCTGAACCTCATTTTCAAAGTTGAGCCCTTCCCAAACCACTGGCTGAGGTGGGGGCCTCTGCAGATGAAGGCTTGGTCTTAGCAGTTCTGGGCTTGGCTTGGTTTGATGGGGCCTTTCAGCTATTACTGAACCACTGGGAGATTCTGCTCTCTCCCACCAGCAAGAGCAAGTCCTCTCTGCTGTCATGTGTCCCTGCCCTCCTCCCCTCTTGCCACTGAGTGCCCTTCAGAGCAGTGAGCTTCATTACCCTTCTTCCTTAAGTCATTGTCACAGTGCTGGTTTGGCTGCCAGAGGCCCAGAGAAGAAGGGTCAAAGTTGGGCTCCCAAAATGGTGTAGCATAGTAGGGCATTTAGGAACCTTGGAATTAACAGTCAATGAGAACTGTTATCTCCTGATTTTTCCCCAGAACATTCCAACTGACATTTTTTTCCCCCTGAGTTTACCTACCAATGAAGACAACTTTCTTTTTTTCAAGATTTTTTTTCTCTTTTTTTAGAGAGAGGGGAAGGGAGGGAGAAAAAGAGGGAGAGGAACATCAACCTATGGTTGCCTCTTGCACACCCCCCACTGGGGACGTGGCCTGCAACCCGCACATGTGTCCCAGTTGGGAATTGAACCAGTGACCCCTTGGTTCATAGGTGGGCACTCAATCCACTGAACCACACCAGCCAAGGCCAAAGACAGCTTTCTACTTTTGAATCACACTCCTCATAATTTTTTTATTGTTAGTTACTATTACAAATGTCCTGTTTCCTTTGCTCTGCTCCCCTCCCCTCAGCCCTTGCCCTCCCCTTGGGCTTCACCACATTGTTGTCTGTGCCCATGAGCTGATCTCTTCCTGTCCTCCCCTAGCACCCCCTCCCTCTGAGATCTGTTAGTCTGTTCCCAGTGTCTATGCCTCTGGTTTTAGTTTGTTCCTCAGTTTATTTTGTTCATTAGATTCCACGTATGAGTGAGATCACATGGTATTTGTCTTCTTCTGACTGGCTTATTTCACATAGCATAGTGGTCTCCAGGTCCATCCATGCTGTTTCAAAAGGTAAATGTACCACCGTGTGAATGGACACAGACTATTTCCAGATGTGGCTATTAGAAATAATACTGCTATGAACATAGGGGTGTATATATGTTTTCTGATTGGTGTTTGGGGTTCTCAGGATATATTCTCAGAAGTGGAATCGCTGGGTCAAAAGGCAGATCCATTTTTAGTTTTCTTGAGGAAACTCCATACTGTTTTCCATAGTGGCTGCACCAATTGGCATTCCCACCAACAGTGCACAAGGGCTCCCTTTTCTTCATATCTTTGCCAGCACTTGTTTGTTGATTTATTAATGATAGCCATTCTGGTAGGTGTGGGGCAGTATGTCACTGTGGTTATAATTTGCATCTCTCTGATGATTAGTGACACTGAGCATTTTTTTCACATGTCTATTGCCCATCTGTATGTCCTCTTCAGAGAAGTGTCTATTCAGGTCCTTTGCCTATTTTTTAATCGGGTTGTTTGCCTTCCTGGTGTTGAGTTGTGTAAGTTCAGATGTATCCTTGGTGAATATGTTCTCCTATACAGTGGATTCTCTTTTCATTTTGTTGATGGTTTCTTTAGCTGTACAGAAGCTTTTTAGTTTGATGTAGTCCCATTAGTTAATTTTTTCCTTTGTTTCCCTTGCCCTTGGAGATCTATCAGCTATGCAACATTCCTCACAAATTTAATCATCATTGTTAGAAAGTGTGTTTTAAAAATATGCAGTGTCAGTATATTCAAAGTCTCAGGATCTCATACTTTTATATTCAAACAAAACCAACCCTTTCCTATGTATTCACTACATAAAAAGTGCAGCAGTTCACAGACTATGTTCAGGGGCTGTTAATGACTGGAGATGTTTTTCTCAGGTTGGAGGAGTCCTCCACTCCAAGAACCTGTAAGTAGATTCATTATTTGCTGAGAGTCAGGAAAACAGTATAAGAAAGAATATGTTATTATCTCATGGGTAGATACTTTCCTCAGAGGAAATTCATCAGTTGTATGGGCCATGGAGTTTGGGAGAGCTCCCAGAAATGTTGTTCTTTTATGAAAATGCTGACTTTCTTGGTGATTTATTTTGGACAATGGGTCACTGGTCAACAGCTCACATTGGGGAGATGGCGGCCTGGGTACAGAGAGGTGACCAGCTTACAGAGACTTTGGCCTTATCAACTCCTTGTGCTTGTGGTGTGCTCTTTGACAGCCCCTATTTCTAATTCTGTCTGAAACCAAAACTTCAAAAGCCCCTGTGAAGAATCACATAAAATTCTGTATCTTATGGAAATATGTTTAGTATATTTACATGCACACAGAAGACATGGTTTTGTGATGTTAAGGGCAAAGTTGCTGATCAGGGTGTCAATGGATCGTTAGTTTTAGAAATATTTTGTATAGAAGGATCAGGCCTGTGATGACTATTGCAAGTAGATCTTCGGGCCTCAGAGTTAGAAATAATCTCATCCCCAGAAATCTCTGTTGAATGTTCCAGCAGTCCTTTGGCCCAAAAGTCACACCTCCTATTAGCTTCTCGGCTCACGGGTGTGTTCTTCACTCGGGGTTGGATACACTGGCCTGACCTGTTAAAAATGCTTATTTATAATAAGAGCATAAGAAGTCTTTGTTTTCAACTATAAACTTACAATGCATTTTAATATGCATTAAAAAGCTGATTTATTTGCTCATTTGTTTGGGTAAAACAAGCTGATGCTAATCTTGAGTTGAAACAATTTTCCCAAACAGGTTATGTTGCTCATGAATTTATTTTGGATCTAAGACCCTTCAAAAAGTCTGCAAATATTGAGGCTGTGGATGTGGCCAAGAGGCTTCAGGATTATGGTGAGTGGTCTCATGAGAGTGACCCCTTTAGGGAGAGGAACTTGGGCTGTGACCTGTAAGCAGCTGCCCGTGCTGGCCATGGACCACCTCCAAGGGCACAAACCGAATGTGCCGTCGCTACAGGAAACTGATCCACAGGCTAAATGGGGAGGCCCAGGTTCCAGACAACTTTCAGGGTGATAGAGAAAAAACTCCCTTATGACTGCATTTGTACTGACCTTTGAAATATCATGCATCTTGACCTCATGCAGCCAAGGAAAGAAGTCTGTATAGTTAACAAAATTAAAAATCCCAAAGAAAATGTTTGTTGCTTTCCGCCGGGTAAACAGAGAGGCCCATGAGGAGTTAAGTTGGTGTAATGGAAAAAAGATGGTGCAAGTAACCTGTGTAAAGTGGTAGAGATGAATGGCATTGTGTATTCATATACACATATTTAAATCCTTACTGAAGATATGTTTATTGATTTGATTTTATTTTTTAAAAGACTTTTCTTATTTATTTTTAGAGGAAAGGGGAGGGAGGGAGAAAGAGAGGGAGAGAAACATCAATGTGTGGTTACCTCTTATGTGTCCCCCACTGAGAACCTGGCCTGCAACCTGGGCATGTGCCCTGACTGGGAATTGAACCACAAGCCTTTGCTTCACAGGCCCACACTCAATCCACTGAGCTACACCAGCCAGGGCATGTTTATTGATTTTAGGGAGAGGAGGGAGAGAGAGAGAGAGACATCAATGTGAGAAACAGCAACTGGTCGCCTCCTGTACAGCCCTGACCGAAGATTGGAACCCACACCCTCTTTGGTTTGTGGGGACAACACTCCAACCAGCTGAGCCATGCAGCCAGGGCTAGATTCTTATTTATAACCATTTCAGTCATGACACAGCTGTTTCAGCTGCCTCTAGAGATGAAGAAATGGGCACATGTTTTCTCAGAGATGATGCATTTTTCTTTGAAGGATTATAAGAGACATAGGCTCTTTGTATATTAGTGGATGTGCATTTAGCACAGCCTTTATTAAAATGTACTTTCTTAGTGACATTATTGATAATATCAGAGACCATTCAGTTCTCAGAAAGGCTAAGTTGTAGAGAACCTTGCTTTTCAATGGATGTGGAGTCCTATCTGAATTTTAGTGATGATTTGACTGAGTTCTTTTAATAAAGAAAGTAAAAACATTAATAATTTAGTAGGTTTACTACCCCATCATAATGGGAATTCCATGTATGTGACTCATTCTCTCTTGAATGGATGATCTTATTATGCAAAGTTACATTGATAATAAATGGGAAGGTAGAGAATGGTTTCATTAACGAAGTTAGCAGTTACCTCATCAAAGTCTCCCCTTGCCTGTTCCTGTGACCTGACTTAGGCCCCTGACATCACACCTGGCTGCAGCAGCATGTGGAGGGAGAGAGAGAAGGGGCCAGGAGGGAGTTGGTAATTGAAGTCACCATCCAGTATTTCCATGTCCTTTTCTCCTCAAGCTTGATGTTATTTTGATGTTGGGTGGAGTGAGTGCCACACTTGCCCTAAGCCCAGAATCATCCAGGAGCCTGGCACATAGTAGGCACTCAGAATATATGTGTTTAATGAGTGAGAGAATGAAAGAATGAGTGAATGACTAAGTAACAAAACAACAATAAAAACGACAACGCAGATTCTGGATCCTAGTCCTGCCTGCTGAATCAGAATTTCCAGTGGTGCTCTGCTGGGTAGCTCGGTTGAAGTGTCATCCCAGTGTGCCAGGGTGACTGGTTTGATACCTGGTCAGGGCACATATAAGAATAACCAATGAGCCCTGGCTGGTGTAGCTCAGTGGATTGAGCGCGGGCCTGCGAACCAGACAATCGCAGTTCGATTCCCAGACAGGGCACATACCGGGGTTGCAGGCCAGTTCCCTGCAGGCCACTTCCCAGCAGGGGATGCATGAAAGGCAACCATACATTGATGTTTCTCTCCCTCTCTCCTTCCCTTCCCCTCTAAAGATAAAAGAAATAAAATCTTAAGAAAAAAAAAAAAAGAATAACCAATGAATGCATAAATAAGTGGAACAAAAAAATTGATGTTTCTTTCTCTCTTTCCCTTTCTCTAAAAAATAGAGTCAATAAAGGAATTGCCAGGGGGAAAACCCAGTAATCTGTATATTTAACAAGCACCCCATGGATGAGTCTTCACAGGCAAGTGGGGGGCTTACTACCTTAGGGCAGAGGTGTTCAAACATAACTAATGATTAGAATCACCTGGAGAGGTTTTTAAAAAAAATTATTTATTTAAAGAGAGGGGAAGCGCAGGAGAAAGAAACATCCATGTGCAAGAGAGACATCAATCAATCAGTTGCCTCTTGCACACCCCCAAATGCGGACCTGGCCTGCAACCCAGGCATGTGCCCTCACTGGAAATTGAACTGGTAACCTTTTGGTTTACAGTCTGGCACTCCATTCACTGAGCCACACCAGCCAAGGCTACCCGGAGAGTTTTTAAACTCAGATTTCTGAGCCCCACCTTGGACTGCCTGAATCAGGGTCGAGATCCAGGAATTTGTGTTTCCAAGACAACTCAGATGGGTCCACAACTGGAAATCACTACAGCAGGGTATGCCGGGCTGAATTTGCTCACGTGGAATTGAGGTCAGACTTCATGATACTAAATTTTGTTTAAAAAAAAATCAAATCCCTTTCTGGTTAAGGTGAAAGTTTTATGCATTTGTCAAAACTCATTAATTGTACACTTTACTGTGTGTAAATTTTGTTACAAAAATACATGAACCAGATACTGAATTCTAGTTACTGATATGCATGCTGAAGTGTTTAAAGGAGAAGTATACTTATGATCCAACATACTTTGAAATGCATCAAAAATAAGATGTAAGGATGGATGAATACATATGTGATAAAGGAAACAGGGTGTCATTGTAGAATCTAGGTAGAAGGCATTTGGGTGTGCACTCCTTCTAACTTGTCGGTATGTTTGAAAATTTTTTGTAATAAAATATGGAAGAGACAACTTTTATGGCATGATGCTCACGTGCCCACATAATGATGCACTGGAACTGGGAGCTCTGCACTCCAGAGTGAACTTACCTGAGGCCTACCAACCTGGGAGTTCTTCCTCTTTTCAAGTTTTGCAGAAAAAGTATAAAATACAGAAAAAGTTGTTTTTGGCTTTTTTCCGGGAAATCTCTCTCTTGACCATGTTTCTTGTCAATTCATCTTACATGTGAAAACTTAAGAAAATGTAGAAACACCCTCAACCTGTGTTCAGTGTAAAGGCAAAGGCTTTCCACACAGTGCCCAAATCTTGGGGACACTGACCCTCACTCCAGGCTACTTGCTGCCTGTTACCTTATTATTCAAATTTGGTAGGCTTTCATGTTTCAGTTTCTTGTAATTGCAAGTAATAATTCATGAGCATTATAGAAAGTTTCTAAAACACAGAGAAATAAAAACCCCTGTCTCATTTTCTGTTGATAACCCATTAAAATTTTACTTTTCTTCTTTAGTACTTATTTAGTATTTATTTTTAGTATTTTAATATTTATTCTTTTTTTAAAGATCTTATTCATTTATCTTTAGAGGGGAAGGGAAGGAGAGATGTAGAGAAATATTATTGTATGGTTGCCTCTCGTGCGTCCCCTGCTGGGAACTGGCCTGCAACCCAGGCATGTGCCCTGACTGGGAATTGAACCACCACCATCTGGTTTGCAGGTCTGCGCTCAATCCACTGAATTACGCCAGCCAGGGCTCTAATATTTATTCTTTAGTATTCTTTAGTATTCAAGGTGTCTTCCCTCATAATATACATATATATAAATATATATATGTAAATAGTCATTTTTTAAAATAAAATGGGATAATATCATTATGTAGCTAAGTTTTTTCACTTAATATTTTTGAATGTTTACCCAATTTAACAAATATATATTTACACACTTTTGATGGTTGCATATTTATTGTGTGGATAACCTGTAAAACTTGCTTAAGCATATTAAATTATTTTCTAGGTTTCTTTCATAAACAGTGCTGAAATGAATCCCCAGATACATATATTAGCAATATTAGCAGTGATTTCCTTGGGATAACTTATAAGATAGGGAGTGTTTCTTCAAATTGGGGAGGTCAGAATTAAGTGACACATGTTGCCTGGTCTCCCCTGCAGGATTTCACGCCCCTACCATGTCCTGGCCAGTGGCAGGGACTCTCATGATCGAGCCCACTGAGTCGGAAGACAAGGCGGAGCTGGACAGATTCTGTGACGCCATGATCAGCATTAGGCAGGAAATCGCTGACATCGAGGAGGGCCGCCTGGACCCAAGGGTCAACCCGCTGAAGGTGTGCAGGCGCTGGTACTCTATTCCAAATGTCCCACAGAGGAGAGTTGCTGGGTCAGTGTGTCGGCAACCCCTGAACTCTCTCATCACAAGATGATATTCTTGCCTAGAATTAAGGCCATTCTTCTGAGAAGATGATGCACTTATCACTTGGAAGTTTAAAACTTGAACGTAGTTGGTTACTTGGGCATAATGTAGATATTTTCTATATCTTAATTTTGTTTATGTAATTGTTTGGGGGCTGTGGGAGCTACATATCACACATGCTCCTAACTGGTTGCTAAAGAGGGAGCAGAGACTGAAGGGCTCTATTTAGCTGAGGAAGTATTATTCTGTGTCTCTCTGTGATGCATTCTAGTGAGATTATTTACCTCACATGCTTGGGATAAAGAGAAGTTCTTCTATTAGAGAGTTACCACTCAGAGCAACTGGGTTGGTACTTAGCCTGAATGTTTTACAATTTTTATGGCTTATGTTGGAGAAAATTTGTTAGGCATTACCCACCTCTTCCAGAGTATATTCATTTTACATCTGGTCAAAGCCCTAAATTTCTCATGAAGTCCAGGTATCACTAAACTGGGGCGTCATGAATTGACAATACCACGAAGGCCATGGTTGCGCTGTTGTGGCTCCAAGCCGACAACACCTGTGAGATGCTTAGAGAAGCTCAAGCAACTTCTGGAAAGCTGGTGGGAGAAGGCAGGCCCTTAGTGTGACTTTGACAGGGTAATGAAGGAATGCAGTGTGATCATTTGTACTGTTCCTTTTTCTCTGGGTACTGCTGATTCTTTCAGGATTTAGGCTGTTAAAAATGGCAATAGACATCTAAAGAACATAATACTGGGTTACAAAAAGCAAGTGGAGAATAATACTCATAGGATGATATAAGGCTTGAGAAGGTACCAAACTACGCTATGTATTGTTTATTAATCTGGGGAGTAGTAGTATAAAACATGGTAAGAATGGCAAACACCAAATTCAAGGTAGTGGTTAGCACTGGGAAGGAGCACATACAGGCAGTTTCAACTGCCCCTAATGCTTTGTATTTTAAAAGGCTAAGCAAATATGACAATGTGTTGATTTATGTTGGGCAGCAGATGTGCTTATTATATATTACCATAACTTTCTGATACTTGAAATATTTCACAATAAAAAAATTCCTACCAAGATTTCCTTCCCAAATTGAAATGAAACAGCCTTCTCTGCCAATGGGCTTCTGTCAGAAGCTACTGACTGAGAAGGCAGTGTTCTCCTCTGATCCCTCTTTCACCCGTGTCTGTCTCAGATGTCTCCACACTCCCTCACCTGTGTCACATCCTCGCACTGGGATCGGCCATATTCTAGAGAGGTGGCAGCATTCCCGCTCGTAAGTTCTCCCCTGAAGCTTACTGTGCCGGCGGGGATTGTGCTCATGTGCATGTGAGGGGCCGGCGCCTATTCTGAAGGGCTCCCGCGTTTACAGTCTCATAGTAAACATATGTGGGATGCCTTGTGGAATGAGGGCCATGACGAGGGAAGGACACAGAACACAGGCGCTGGCTTACAGACCTCTGAAGTCAGAGTCCGAGTGTCAGCCCATGCCTGGGACTCTGGAGGGCACACAGTGCAGGAAGACAGAAGGGGCGTCCCTGTCAGTCAGGCGTTTTCTACCATCACCCAACAGTGAGGTGGCCCCAAAGGCAATTTTTCTTTCTTTTCTGAGAGAAAATGCTGTGCAGCTTGCTCGATGGGCTGGAGACAAGCATCGAAGGTTAGATTTGTGGGGATGGCAATGAAGGGCTGGCATTTAGTTTCTTACACTTTTTGCGTACTTGTTGGGCTAGTGGTGTCTTAGGCTGTGGGGATGTCATTGCAATCTTTTCTCCCAAGGGAAACCTCTCAGAATGTTGCAGAACATTTCCATTCTTTGTCCTTACAGCCCTTTGTGAAACCAGAGAACAAATTCTGGCCAACCATTGCTCGGATTGATGACATCTATGGAGATCAGCACCTGGTTTGTACCTGCCCACCCATGGAAGTTTATGAGTCTCCATTTTCTGAACAGAAGAGGGCCTCTTCTTAGTCCTCTCTTCCTGAGTTCAAGTGACTGATTTGATGCCTCTGGAGCATTTGATAAGCAAGAAATATTTTACCTACCACCCTAGACTCAAGCAGAGGATTTATATACTGTGTATATTTTTATAATCTCTCTCAAGGCCACTGTAAATACAATTGGCATAGGGAGTGGGAGCTCATTGCTGGAAGATTGGTTTGCTTCAGTGCCTCTGCTTCCACTTGCAGCAGTTGACGTTCAAATCGCCTTGATTCAGACCCATTTTTAGTTTTTTGCATAGAAAACTTTTGCATAGAAAAGTTTAACTTCAACGCAGCAAGTTCACAGATATTGTAGAGGCTATAGTGGAGCCTCGGTAGACATATTTTTGTTCCAAATAAGTCCTCATGGACGGTGCCATCTGTGGGAATTCCCAGGGCAAATGTTTACATTTTGTATATGCCGCAAAAGTCTTTTTCTCTAATTGGGCTAATCTGTAATAGTTTCTGAGTGTTTTTTCTCTTTTTTTCATGTGTGTGGGTTTTTTTTTATCTGTAATTATTAGTATTCTAATAAAAGCATTTCAATTTGGAAAATGTCTTCTTGGTCCATTTTCTCAATCTTCCGTGTACAGGTTCAGAGGGATTTGAAGGGTAGTGAGAGTAACTAACCCAATACCATTGTTACATTATCAGTTTATCTTTGGCCAGCTAAAAAAAAAAGAGTGTATATCTTGTTTAGCAGTGAATACCACTTTAGCCCTTTTTGTTAGAATGTTAGGTTGTGGGTAACTGAAACTCAACTACAGAAGTTTATCAAACAATGGTTTATTTTTTCTCATCTAACAACATGTCCAGAGGTGAGGCTTCTTCAGTCTCTCTGTTCTGTCTTTTGCAGATAGTCTTCATCCTCATATTCCTAAGACAGCTGCTGCATATCCAGCCATCACACACTCATTCCAGAGAGGAAAAAAGAGGAAAAACAAGAGACAAAAGGCAAATTCCATCCACGTCAGCTTCTTTTGAAATGGCTTCCCAAGGTTCCACCTGGTAACTTCTGCTTGCTTTTAACTGGCCAGGATTGGTTCAAATTGCCACTCCTCGCTGGAAGGGTCACAGGGAGTCCTTTTACCTGGGCATGTGACTGCCCCAAAAGAAATCAGGGGTTTAATTAGAGAAAAGGGGAAGAATGGGTTTCAGGTAGGCAAGTAGCTGGCCTGCCACAAATGTTTCTCCTGCACATAGCAAATGCTGCAGACGTTCTTCCCTGATGATTGTTAGGCACGCGCTCTAGCCCAGCTACTTGGTTCCTCGCTTGGCAGCTTGCTCAACTCTTACTCACATGACAGTGATTTGGACAAAAGATCTGAGTGCTCTGCCAAGTGGTCCACTTGTTCTCACACTTAAAAAAAAAAGCTTGTGAAAATTTATTTCAGCCTAACTAAGCAGTGGAGAAGTGAGGGGACCCATGGTGCCTTGTTAACATAATTATTAAGTGATGGCTATCTATTGAGTACTTCTTGGGTGTCAGGTACTACTAAGTGTTTAAAATGTATTATCTCATTAGAACCTCATAACACCCCACTTTACACACGAGGGACATGGTATGGAGAGATGCCCGAGGTCACACAGCTGGTGAGGGACAGCCACTGCTTGAACCCAGGCTGAGCAGCTTGCTCACTGGTGACAACAGGTTGTCCCACTTCCATGGTCACTGCTCACCAGGAGACCGTCCTTCCTGTGCTGAAAACCAGGCTTTCAACACAAGCTAGCCATCCGGGCATGGAGTCATCCCATCTGAAGAAGGACAAGGATGTGAAAACTAAGCATGGAGGTGAACAGCCTTTTCTAATGTCTTTATCAGGCTATAACGTATTAGCGGTTGAGCATCAAAGTTGTTTCCACAATAATGCATCCATTGCTTGTCCCCTAAATCCATCAGGGCAAAGACAAGTGATGGAGTGTCTAAGTGAACTACTTGTCCTTCACTACTGTTAAGTGACTCATGTTTTTTACCTGACACTTGTGCGCCCGACTTCCCCGCCTTTAGGTCCTTCCCTGTGTGGTACCCTCCACCTGGAGCACTCCCTGCCAGCCTTGCTGTGCTGGCTGCTGTTTGTTCACCTTTCAGCATCTTCTCCAAAAGGTCTTACACACATTTCCAGGAAATGGGCTCCATCATTTGTCAGCACTCAGATTTTTTTCCTATACTCTTAGCACAATTAGCAATTATTCTGTTGACCTGGGTGTTTTTTGTTGTTGGTTTGGGTTTTTTTTTGCCTCATTAGATCAAGTTCTCTGAGAGCAGGAACCAGATCAGTGGATTCCCAGTGCTTAGCCAGGTCCTGTAGTATGTGTTCAATGAAAAAAGAAATAGGAATGGAATCAATAAAGGGTTGATCCGTGATCTCAAAGAGTGACACTGTCACAGAAACCAGTATTTTTAATGCCTTTCTGTGAATTCTATTCAAGGAAAGTACAAAATGCTGGGCCTTGAAACAGCACCTCTGGACAGATTTTGTGTCTCTTTTTTTTAAGATAGTTATTTATTTTTAGGAAGAGGGGAAAGGAGGGAGAAAGAGAAGGAGAGAAACATCAATGTACGAGAGATTGATTGGTTGCCTCCTGTACACTCCACAACCTAGGCATGTGCCCTGACCAGGAATTGAGCCAGTGACCTTTCAGTTTGCAGGCCGGCACCCAATCTACTGAGCCACACCAGCCAGGGCTCCACTCCTTTTTCTATTGTGGTAAAATACACATTACATGTACCACTTTAACCTTTTTAAATTCTACAGTTCAGTGACACCAAGTACCTTCATGATATTGTGCAGGATATGCCCTTTTCCCAGTTTTGAAGGTGAGAGGCCTGAGGTAGATGCGTACACATGACCTGTGTGACTCAGGCATCCCCTCCACCTGCTCACAGCCCTGACACAGGCCACAGGATCCTGGGAACCATCCTTGTCTGCAGGCACGTGACAGAGGGCATGGGCCCAGCCTGGAAACCCTGTGAAAGCTCTAGATGCCTCTAGGGGCCATTTTTCCAATGACAAGACTTGAGGTCAATGACAATGACATCCTTTATTTTCCATCGAAATGAAGGATGTAGTTGTCACTGTTGGGTGCAAAAAACCTTCTGGGACAGAGAGTTAGAAACTGAGATGTTCGCGCTTTTAGAGGCTCCCAGGGCTTCAGGACATTGGGCAGGTTCAGAGAGGTTTCCTAGGGCAGTGACTTTTCAACCCTGTGTGTCTAGATTGTTGTGAGGGTGTTAACACAGAACGCTAGACCCTGGCTCCAGAGTTTCTGATTCAGTACGTCTGCAGTGTGGCCTGAGAATTTCCATTTTTAAAAGTTCCAGGTATTGCCGCTCAGCTTTCTTTGTTCACATTTCAGGTATTTTCCAGAACTCTAAGCCTTTAAGGGATGGTAAGGGTGGGAAAGATGCTTAAGTTAGTCTAGTCAGTATTTTTTATGCAATCTTGCTGCTTTGAGAGAAAAATCCCTCATTCCAGGTTTTGGCTGAGGCTCCCACCACTGGAGGAGACTGAGCCGGCGCCACATATGTTTTGGCCTTGTCTCTAATCTGCTAGATTCGCTCCTGCCTGCACTGTAGCTACAAGTTTTTTGTTTAAGATCAGAGTGTAGCTTTATTACAGATAAAGCTGATTGGAGACTGTGGTTTTGGATCTCTAGCCAGAGGGCGTGCTCCATTTCTGCCCTTGGTGCTTCACCAGTCTAAGCCGGGAGACACCCAGCAGAGGGAAAGTCTGAGTCTGTAGAGCAGATGCTCCAACCCAGACTTGCTGCCCCGTGCTGACCCCAGGTGAAGAGGGAAGAGAAAAAGGCAGGTTTCCCCAGTGCTGATGGCAGTAACATAGATGCATGGAGGTCATTTTCAGTCTCCCCTACAGAGAAGAGTAAGAGGTGGGGCTAGAGACAGGAGTGTGGTCACCCCACAAACAACAAGGAATCTAGGAAGCAGGAGTTGGTGCCCAGCCTTTATATTGTGCACCTGGAGCTTTCCCCACATCTCCACACCTTTCATACTCACAACTGCCTGAGGATGGTGACAAGTCCCTGATATTAGAGTTAGAATCCTGGCTGTCAGATCGCCCTTCCCAAAGTTTGTTTGGAAATGCAGTTAATTTGGGGCAGGAGGAGGTCTCTGGTCCCTGGACGTAGCAAGGGTTAGTGGGCACCTTTTCCATCCAAGCAGTGCTGAGAGCTTTTGGTTTAATTGGCTTTACAGGGCAATCTGGGAACCTACCTCTTTCCTCTCTATCACTGTTCCTAGGGGAAACATCTGTACAAATTTGTACAAACAAGATTATTTCCTTTTCAAACTACTTTGAGCCACGGATCAGGGCTCTCCTCCTTTGACAACTTCTGAAATGCAAGTTGGAGATTGCCTGTCATTTTTCTGAATTCAGTAGAATTGATGGAGGTTTGAAAAAAATCTCAGTTACTTTTTTTCATGGCCCTACAGGACTTTCCGGGTGTCTAGACCTCTCCCTTGTAGAGGTTAGGGTTTTCAGAAGCAATGCAAGAGAAATTTTTGTGTGCTTTTGATCTGATTACTGCCTTGTGCTTTAACATCACTAGTAAAAATGTATAGTTCAAGTGTGACATTTAAAATTTTCTTCTAAAGCACTTCTGAAAATCAATGGGAAAAAAAAAACAACCACCAGAAAACACTTGGTGAGACTCAGAAGATTTAAGTGCTTTAAAATAACAGCCCCACTCCCGGAAGCAGGGCGGGATCCAATGGCACCAGGAGCGATGCCAGTCATCCTAAAAAAATGCAGACTTTTCCCCAATGGTGCTGCTACTGGGAACTTGATCCAAAAGTGTTCCTCACTGCAGCAGGAGCGGCCAAAGTAGAATGAGATGCAAACATTCTTTCTTAAAAGACTGGCATGAAGAACGGGGTAAAAAAAAGGTAAGGCACTTGCATTCAACATATTTTATGAAATACACGGGAATATTAACTTTCCCAAAATAGAAGAACTAAATGTTTTTATTGGTTAAAAGAAGCTGCTTCAGAGGCATTCCAACAGACAATGAGGAAAATACTCTCCATGGAAGGAGACAGTGGGGTTGGCTGTTAAATAAACTTGCAAATAGCAAAGGAGTGAGTGTAGTGTGTGGTGCCAGGCATGTTGGGGGGGGAGGAGTGTGGAGGGTTTGCACTATTTCTGTATTTAGTCAGAAAAGGAGCTTTTTGTCTGGGACAGTGTCCACCATGAGAGAAGTACTGTCAATCTGAAGTTCAATGCCAGTGAGCATGAGGCAGTTCTGGGAGGAGAGGCTAAAAGGTGTCACAGTTGCATTTCAGAATGCTGCCCATGGTTTTTATAAGTATGAAAATGAGTTTCATTCTCATTTTCATACTCATTTCATACTTAAAGGGCTTTGAAAAGAAGGATGTGCCATACAACAACCTTTCAGATATTTTTAATTCATGCATGCTGCACATTGGCTCTCTTTAAAATAGTGTCGAAACCCAGTTTTCATAATGCAAGAGGACGTAATGTAAATTAAAAATAAATAACACAGTGAAGCAGAAAACAGTGCAAAGTAACACAGTTTGAGTTGAAATCCTAGGTCTGCACTGACTACCTGTGATTTAGGGTGAGTAACTAACTCTGAAACCACTACCTTATTGTAAAATGGAGATAATGCCATTTACTCCACAGGTGGTGAGAGTAGTAAGTGAAATAATATACGGAAACACCGACAACACTCTTCTTTCTGGAGAAACTGAGCAGATGTTGGAAATACTGCCATCCCTGCTCCAAAGACATGGATATGATAGTAAAACAGTCCTCTTAGCCCCATTAAGAAAACAGACAAACATAGGTCCTCAAGGAAGGAAAGAATGGACAGTAAGGAGCAGAAATGGGGCATTTTCAGAACTGGGAAAGCCCTGTTCCAATGAGGACCAAAAAAATCAGTATCTACTAAACCCAGGGTCATGGTAGGAAACAAGCTTTCCCTCCCAGACCACGGTCACTCACAAGGGGCTTTGCTACAGGTGAATGCAGAAGCCAGATTCATACCAGTTACAAATTGGACTCCCATTCAACAAAATTAATAGTTCAGTTTTGGGAGAACATATATGGCCCTAGAAGAAACCATCTAAAAATTTTTCCAAAGAAAGCAATAGTATCTACACAAAACAAAGCTCTAAACAAAACACTCTGAGAAGAAAATTCCCCAGAAAATGAACTCACAAGTTTACAAACACAATGAAATTCAATGTTAAGCAACAATAACTGGCAGAATTCTTACTTTAGGAACCAGAAATGAGGAAGATTAAAAGGGCTTTGAAATAAGTTTTTAAATGCTCAAAGACATATTGGAAACACTAAGATTCATAAATACATACAAGAGATTATGAAACTAGAAGAGATAAAGTCAAACAAAATCAGGAAATATACTTCTTAAAATAACTTATTTAGATGGGTTGAACTTTGACTAGACTGAACAAGAAAATTCAATGAAGTGGAAGAATGACTGATGGGAGGAAATCACCCAGAACCTAGCACAGAGGGGTAGAGATGAATGATTTAAGAGATGCTAAGGTTACACTGTGAAAGCTAGGAGGTTGAGATTGGAGATAGAGGATTTGGCTAAGGAGCAATATTTCTAAAAGGAAACAAAAAATTTTAGAACTGAGTCATACATTTTTAATTTAAAGGAATACAATGAATCCCAAACAAAGCAAATAGTAATTAACCCACACCTAGAAAAATTTCAGTGAAACTCAGTTGAGGGAAAACACAAGGAACTATCAAACTGACATTCAACTTTTTTTGGTCAATGGACTCCAGAACACAATGGAATACCTACAAAATCCTGAGTAAAGGTAACTAGAGATCTAGACTTCTAACCTAGTCAATTTATTCATCTAAAAATCATTGTGACAAATAAAGTCATTTTCAGACTTGCAAAGATTGAGAAAACTTACTGTTCCTAGACCTTCACTGAAAGGTCAATGATACAAAAGCATCTTGAAGTATTCAACATGAAATAGCCAAAAAAAGGGGAGACAAGTCTTGTCAGTCTTAAATCATCCTTCAGTTACTGATAACATTTAGTAACTCAAACATTTAAAAAATGTGGATTTAAAAAAAAATTTTATGTATTTATCTTTAGACAGAGGAAAAGGGAGGAAGAAAGAGATAAATAGAAACACTGATGTGCAAAAGAAACATCAGTCGGTTGCCTCTTGCATGCCCCGGACTGGGGACCTGGCCCGCAACCCAGGCATGTGCCCTGACCAGGAGCTTTTGGTCTGTAGGATGATACCCAATCCACTGAGCCACACCAGTCAGGGCAAAACCAAATTGGTTTAAAAAAAAGTTACAACTAGAGACTTCTGGCCAAGATGGGGAGGTGCAGGTAGACATGCTTTGCTTCTTCTCACAACCATAAAAATGATAACTAAACTCAAAACAAAAAGCATCAGAACGTCCAGAAAATTGAACTGTATGGAAGTCCGACAACTAAGGATCTAAAGAAATATTCAGACGGGTAGGAGGGACAGGGAGGATGCAGTGTGGTTGGTGGCGAGGCAGTGGTGGGGGCTGTCAATCTGTGTCGTCTGGCCCTACATCTGCATCTGGCAGATAAAAACAGAGAGGGACAATTGGGGAGGAAATGATCCCGGCACAGGCCACACCATGCAGACCAGGGTTTCAGCACCAGGAGAATAAAGCCTCGTAACTTCTGGCTGTAAAAACAAGTAGGGGTTGGGGGAGCAGAAGAAACTGCTGGTGTTTCATGAGAGTCCATTTAAAGGACTCATACAGTCCTAGAACCCATGTAAACACACCCATGCTGGGATTTAGCACCAGGGCAGCAGCTAGAAGGGTGCGAGTCACATATGGAAAGTGGGGGAAGTGACTGGAAATAGGGTGAGAAGTAAGCAGAAAAATCCACAGGGAACCAACACTGAAAGGAAGGAAGCTGGGGTTCAAAATCAACAATTTGGAACAAAGGGAAGAAACAGTCAACCAGTACAGAATGAAGACATAAGAATTCAAAAAAAATGAGGAGAGAATAAGACCCTGGGACTTCTACAAACGTGCCAACAAGCAAATCATAGGGATGCTAGAAGGAGAAGAGGAAGAGCAAGAAATCAAAAATTTATCTGAAAAAATAATGAAAGTTAAATCCCCCAATCTGGTGAAAGAAATAGACATACAAGTTCAGGAAGCACAGAGAGTCCCACCAGACAAGTTGGACAAAAAGAGGGCCACACCAAGACACATCATAATTAAAATGCCAAAGTTTAAAGGGAATCGTGAAAGCAGACAGTTACCTACAAAGGAATTCCCAAAAGACTATCACCTGATTTCTCAAAAGAAAGTTGACAGGCAAGAAGGGGCTGGAAAAAGTATTCAAAATCATTCATTAAAGGCAAGAACCTACAATCTAGATTACTCTATCCAGCAAAGCTCTCATTTACAATGGAAGGGCAGATAAAGTGCTTCCTAGACAAAGTAAGGCTAAAGGAGTTCATCATCACCAAATCATTATTACACGAAAATTTAAAGGGACTTAATGACAACAATCTCACAGCTATTAACAACTGAGTATGAAAAAACTGAAACAAACTAAGCAAACAAGTAAAACAGGAAGAGAATCAGAAATAGAGATCACATGGAGGGTTATCGGTGGGGGGGAGGGGGAGAATGGGAAAAAAGTTGCAGAGAATATGAAACATAAATGGTAGGTACAAAATACACAGGGGGATGTTAAGAATAGTATAGGAAATAGAGAAGCCAAAAAAATTATAAGCAAGACCCACAAACGTGAACTTGGGGGTGGGGATTGCTAGAGGAAAGGGGAGTACTGGGGAGATGGGGGCAATGGGGAAAAAATTAGGAAAGTTGTAATGGCATACTCATAAAAATATAGTTATAATCTTAAAAAAGAGGTATAGCCAAAATAGTAAACATTGATATGGAAAACAGGTCAGAAAGGACAATAGGAAGGGAAATAAAAATATGGTAAGATATTTGTCTTAATCAGGAAAAAACTGATGTATTGATCATTTTATAAATATCAATATAATCTAATGCATAGATACGTTAAAAGCTTAAGAATGACTACAAAATAACAGAAACTGAATTGAATAACTTTCGGTGCAATTCAAGGGTTGGGGTGGATCTGACCCTCTTTAAATATAGGATCTGACAGAAATTAACACATGCTTGAGTGACTGGTAGGGCAATAACATGGATGTAATAATTTTTAGTTTTAATTTGAACATTTCACCTTTACTGTCATATGGTGTGCTTGAGTGTGATATTGTTATGTTACAGAACTACATTCTTATGATTTTGTAATAAGAAATGGGCATTACTTGTGCCAGAGCCTGTATAAGAACAAGGAGAAAAAGAAAAAATACCCTTGCCCCTTTACGATAAAGATAGAGAACAAAATGCAATGACAGTAATAATTCTAAAATCTCAGCAAAAAATCTAAAGAGAACCAATTTAGCTATCAGACTATGCCAAAACATAAAACTTGAATGAAAAAATTGCAGAATTTGTACAATATCACTTGCATAAATTAACACTTGAAATATTTTGTGTATGAATACTTATACATGAACGCTTTTATAAAATCAAGTGAAAAGTAGAACCTAATCAAAACAAACAAGCAAGCAAAATATAACCTGAGACATTGAAATTAAGAACAATCTGACAGTAACCAGAGGGGAGGTGGGAGGGGAAAATGGTGGGGAAGGGTTTTCAGGAACAACTATAAAGGACACATGGACAAAATCAAGGGTGGGTGGAAGTAGGGGAGGGAGGTGGGGAGGGCTGGGCGGGGGGAATGGAGGGGAGCAAATGTAGACAACTGTATTTGAACAACAATAAAATAATTAAAAAAAATCAAGTGAAAGGCCATCATTAAATTCATAATTTCTTAGGTGGGGAGATGAAGAAAGCATGTCAGCTTTGTTTGTAGTTATTTTTTCCCTTTATTTAAGAACAAATGTTAACAGTGACCAATACTGGGTAGTCTGTTTGCATGGTGTTCACTACAGTTTCTTTGTAATATTTTACATTTAAAAACAAAAACCCCAATAAACAGAGCATGGCATAGATGTTATTTTCCTTTTCCTGGCTTCTGTTTCTTTATTATAAAAGGGAAATTTTTCTTTGGGGTATTGCTGGTAAGTTTTTCTCCCCTAAAATAATGAAAAAATTTAATACTGAAACTGTTATCTTTGTAAAGTTCATGAACAGTTAAAATCCCTCACCAATTCTGATGCAAGTGCCCGAATATCATGAAGAAAAACTGAGTGGACTTACTGTCCACAGCATTTCTTAATTGTTTATTTATTAAGAGAAACTATTCCTTAATTCACAGTCATGTTTCATAATTCAGAAACACAGGTCAGTGACAAACTTTCATGGAATTCTACCCAAAGAAATTCTTTGCATTCCAAAATCACTTTGCACTCTGAAAGATACCAGCCTTCCCCATCTCCTCAAAATCTTTCATGGAATCATAACTTCTGTAGAAATCTGTGTCTGCCTTCTTTCTTGGCTCAGGCACAGCAAACTTACAGAAAGCTGCACACCCCAGGGTACAATGACAGCTCCAACAATATGAAATTGCAGACGCTTGGCTACATGGAGACATGGTAGTTACAGTCTGCTCACCAGACGTCCTTACTGGAGGTGAAATGCTGGAAAGTTTTAGTATCATTTGGTGTAGTATCTGACACTTAAGTGCTTAATAAATGTTAGTTTCCTCTCAAATAGTTTCTTTGTTGTTAAACCTGTTTTTGAAAAGCTACTTGGGAGACTTCGAGTTCCACACAAGATGCAGTAAATACATTCCACCCTATTCCTTAGTTGCTAAATACGAACACCCTCCTTATTTCAGGGGTAAATGTTCCAAATCACCCAGTGGATGCCTGAAAATACAGAAAGTACCTACATATACTATGCCTTTTCCTTAAACATATATACTTTTTCACTTAAGGGAAGGACTTTATGACTTTTCTTTGGCATATCCAAATAAACAGCACCATTATTCTTGGGGCAGTTATTAAGTAAAATAACTGCTATTTGAACACAAGCACTGTGATACTGCTACAGCTGATCTGAAAACCAAGATGGTAGCTACCAAGTGACTAAAGGGCAGGATGTATAAACAAGGATATGCTGGACAAAGGGACGACTGAAGTCCCAGACTGCAAGAGACTTCATTATGCCACTAAAAACGGTGTACAATTAAAAACTTATTATTTTTGAAATTTTCCATTCAATATTTTTGGACCACAATTGACCTCAGGTGACAAATCACAGAAAGTGAAACCACGAATGGTGGGGAGGGGGCGGCTACTGTACTGCTAAAAACCCTTCATGAAACATGCAAAGTAGCAAGCAAAAGACTTGGAAAGGTGAAAAAAGGTGGCCTGGGCATGCATTTTGAATTTGAGAACTGACCTGGAAGTCTCCTGGTGTATTTCTTTTGCCTTCTTTTGGTGTAGGTGCGAAGGAAACCTACAGCCCCAAAACATCATTGAACTCAAAGAAAGAAAGGCCTGCTCTCACAAGCCGAAGATATTAGAAAAAGGAGACCTTTAGGAAAAAACCCGTTTGATTATATCTGCTCCTCTCCAAGTAAACACCCATTACCCTAGCACTGAGATTGGGAAGAGCCCTGTGAACCATCACCACCCTAAGCTGCAAAGAGGCAGTGCCTTAACAGTCCCAGCTAGAGACTGAGGGAGGATTACAAAGAGAAGGGAGCTGGAAATCTGTGTATGTTGTACTGAACAGGCCCCTCAGCATACCAGACAGGAAACTGACCATAATCAATATAGCAAAATGAACTATGAGTGGACTGTCCAGGTTTCAGATTGGTTTCTGGGTAGTGTCCAGGTAGGGGCAGATCAGAATAACACTGTAAAGACTTTGAAAATTAAATTGACATTAAAACATAAAACTGGGTTAGGACATGAATTCTGAACTGGAAGATAAACAGAATTTCTGTTACAAAACAGGTTTAAATAGAAACAATATTCTCATAATACTCAAAAGGTCCAGGATTCAATGCAAAATTATTCATATTGATAACAAGGAAAATCTCAACCTGAATAAGAGATATTAGAAGACCAAAATGGAAATTTTAGAACAGAAAAATACAATAACCAAAACAATACCAACAAAAACCCCTACATTCTGCTCAATAGCAGACTGTATTAGGGGGGTACCTTACAAAAACAGAAAAATACCACATTACCATAAGGGGCCATAATACGAGTAACAGCAGATTTATCAGAAACCATGGAGGTTCAAGGTTTGACTGAGTCCAGTTCCATTCCTGTGGATTCAGGACCTTGCTGGCTGTTGGCTGTGTAGTTTCTTGCTACACAGGATTCTCCATAAAGTAGTGCACGGCTGTTGTCTTCTCTCAGAGTGGGCAAGAGAAGTTGTCCAACATAAAGACAGTAATTTTATAACCTAACTTTCAAAGTGACATTCTATCACTTCTGCTGCATTCTATTCATTACAAGAGAATTAGTAAGTGCAGCCCGCACTCGAAGGGAGGAAATCACAACAGGGCATGAAGTACCAGGGGGTAGAGATCACTACAGACCATCTTAGAGGGTGCCTATAGCAGTACTAACAAGTTTATCAATAGTTAGTTCTAGTTCTCTATTATTAAAAGACCAATTAAAAATTTCAATTCCTTGATTACTGGTAGGCTGAGGAATTTAGGAATGCTTCAATCCACCAAGAGAGGCTAGAACATGTACTAACAACTCAAAAACCTTAGGGTCTGGCCAAGATGGTGGCATAGGTAGAAGCACTGCGCCTTCTCGCACAACCAAGTTTAAAAACAACAAAATTTTAGCAACAAAAATGCAGCCAAACCACAGAAAATTGAACTATACGGAAGTCTGACAACAATGAACCCTTCAGCCAAACCAGTAAGAGGGGCAGAGCCAGCAGCAGAACGGGGTTGGGCAGGAAAGATCCAATGGACCGACCTGGGCGTGCGACCCAGGTGAGCCAGCAAGCTGTGGGTGGATCCCAGGTGTGGAGAAGTGGGCAGACCCACTGAGGGTGCAAGGTGTTGGACCCACTGAAGGCTGATCACGGTCACACATTCATGCACAGATAAACCGGTGAAGGAACTAGCAGTGAGACGGACTGCGCAGGCCCCAGCAGCAGAGGGAACCGCCATTGTCCCTCTCTGACCCCGCCCCCACATACAGCATCACAAACCAGCCATTCGGGTGGTCCCGCCCTGGTGAACACCTAAGACTCTGCTCCTCCAATGTAAGGAGTGCTAACAAACCAAAACATGGCTCAAGAAGAACTCAAAGCCCCAGAGCCGATAAATCTAAGTGATGAAGAAATAGCCAAACTTTCAGATGCACAGTTCAAAAAACTGGTGATCAGGATGCTCACAGAACTGGTTCATTTTAGTCACAAATTAGAGGAACATATGAAGGCTAAACTAATTGAAATGAAGGGAAATGCACAGGAAACCAATAGTAATGGAAAAGAAACTGGGACTCAAATCAAAGGAGTGGACCAGAAGAAGGAAAAAAATGACCAAACAGAAAAGGATGAAGAAACAAGAATTCAAAAAAAGGAGGAGAGGCTTAGGAACCTCCAGGGCACCTTTAAACATTCCAACATCCGAATTATAGGGGTACCAGAAGGGGAAGAAGAACAGCCATGAGTGGAAAACTTATTTGAACAAATAATACAGAAGAACTTCCCCAATCTGGCAAAGGAAATAGACTTCCAGGAAGTCCAGGAAGCTCAGAGTGTCCCAAAGAAGTTGGACCCAA